AAAACGTTCTTCCAAAATTTATTTAAAAACTTGCTAGTTTCACTTTGATTTTTTAAACTCAAGTAGGGTAACTCTGTTCGCAAAGGGTGCGCATTTGTGAAGAGGGCACCGCCGAATTTGGGGGACACTTTTTTAATTGGCTCAAAGAGAGAAGTGGCCCCTCTTGTTATGTCGACTCTTTGCTTCAGTCTTGTTGTGAAAGTGAGAGAAAGGAAGGTAAGTGCTGTTGCTTTAGGGTTTGCTGCCATTGTTGTAATTCAGAAGGCAAAAGTAAAAACTCTGTTTCTTGATGAAGAAGGTTGATTTATTGAACATAAAAGAAAATGACATGAGGTCTGTCCTCTCTGGCTTCACTGACAAGACTGAATCATAATGAGCATGAGCACGTGTGGTTAAAACAGGAAGGAGGAGTGAGTAAAGATCACTAAGATCAGACAATCTTTGGTGTGAGGGTAGATAAAATAAAAGTACAATTACAGGGATATAATTCAAATTAATCATGGTAATATAGGGACCAACAATCCAGGATTTATTGTTGCCCTTCTATATATTGATAATAAGCAATCTAATAGACGAACAAGTGCTGTGTGACTGACATCAGAATCTCGTCATGTCTTTACTACTGCTTCGCCTGAACACTGCTCTTGATTACTAGCATGTTTAGTTCGTCTTTGTCTTTGAACTGTAGAATGATTACAGTGATACAGTTTTTCCTTTTTTTACCCCCTTCTTTTGGAAAAGTTATTTTCACTGAAATCAAGTGGGTGGTTTGCTCCTTCTCTCCTACCAAACATTGATTGTCCTGATCTCTCCTTTCTTTTGTGTTTGTTACTCTTTTGTAACACCTCTAATCTTCAGCACTTATATGACCTTCTTTTGTTGCAAGTGGCGTAAAACTCTTACTAAAACTAAAAAACTGAAATCAATTTTCAAAATCAAGAACAGTAAGTGTTGTATATTCTTACCTTGTTTTGTCCTTTTCTGTTTTACCCTCGTGTTAGTTGATTCTATTAATTGTCTTGTGGTTTACAAATTCAACTTTTGTAAATTTTCTGTTGTTTCCACAAAATTTCAGTGGTATTCATGCTTGTTATTGCTAATTGTTGCCAGATTTAGGGGGACATTGACATGTTCTTAGGCACAGTAGAATTGTAAATGGGCTGATTTATCAATGTCATGCTCATACTGTGCCGGAACAACACTGGGGGAAATGCTTCTTTTTTTTTTCGTATCCCTATTATCGTCATTTTTCTTCTACTTCTATTGTATGTTTGTCACTCTCTTGTGAACTGCTATTTCTGGGGTGCCTTGATAGTCAAAGCAGACTTTGTGTCCTCTTGAGGCTAGAGAGGTGAGCAGAGTAAGCCTGATTCCCCGTTTGGACTTCTCTGTTGACATCCACCCCTTGGCGCTCATATGACTTTTTGCCGTTGCGAGCGCCGCAAAACCTTACTAACAAAAAAAACAAAAAACCCCCCAAGATTTTGTATGAACTTTTTTCCCCTTTCATTCTCGGCTTATTTTTCCAGCGTTAGTTCTGACGACAACGAGGCCACAAGGCTGCTGTTTGTGAAGGAGTGTGTGGAGGGTTTCGTCGACTGGTCCGCCCTGCCTACCTCTGCCGGCCCGCAATTCATCAAGGTCAGAGTGTGGGTGGTTGGCGGGTGCTCTGGTGTGGTTTGCTTCTTCTTTCCTATCAAACATCTATCGTCCTTATCTCCCCTTCATCTTTTTTATGTTTGTTACTCTCTTGTAACACCTCTAATCTTCTGTCGCTTATATGACCTTATGCAGTTGCGAGCGCTGTAAAACTTTTACTAAAACTAAAAGATCAGAGTCCAGAATTCATTGACAATGACAATGAAAATCTTGATTCATCTGGCAGGGAGACATCACAGTGCTCCTAAAATAAATTTGTTTCCGCCTTTTTTTTTTGCGGCACACTTTTTTTGTGGACGGTTGGTGGGTGCTCTGGTGTGGTTTGCTCCTTCTTGTCTATAAAATAGATATTGTCTCCTCCTTGTTTTTGTGTCTGTTACGCTCTTGTAACACCTCCAATCTTCGGCAGTTATATGACCTTATTGTGTTGCTAGTGCCGTAAAACTCTTACTAAAACTAAGGTTAGATTCCAGAATTCATTCACAGTGCTCCTATGAAAAATTTGTTTTTAGTTTTAGTATGCCATTGTTGGTTTCTGCTTTGTCCCCCCC